TAGTTGCCAAGCCTTTTTAAAATTTCACGTTAGAACATTGAGGTAGATTGGATATATTTTTTTAAGGAAAAATTATTGAACTACGCATCTTTTTTTATTCTATTTTCTATTGTTCCCTACATTTCAAAAATTTACAAAATCCTTTTTTTTTTCTCTCAATCTCTCATTTCCGGGTACATAACTTCCACATTCTAAATCTACGATTTTCTCCCTTTTTCACGTTTATAATCACTCCACCATATCACCAGTTACCTCCATCACTCAATTTTTTTAATTTCAATTATTCTTTTCTCTTTCCAGTAAATTGATTTAAAGTTTTTGAAGAGGTATTCTTCTTTACAACTCATCGATTATCGTTTTTTTTTAAAGTTAGATTTTTCATCTTCAACTTTCTGATACATATGGATGATGTTCTTTTTTAGTATTGGAATTACCCAATTATTTTCAAATAAAGAAGATAATGTGGGTCATATTTTTTATTCTGACGACGAAGGATTTGTTGAAAATGGATCTAAACAATGAAACAAAAATCCTCTATTCATGAAGAATCTGAGTTTAGAGAAGTCAAAGTCGAAGAATGATGCACCTTCGACTTCTAAAGCTAATGTGAAAAAAAATCCCAAAAAGGAAAAAAAAAAGTTGGATATGCATTATCATGCCCATGTCCATCAATTTCAAGTTATTCAAGAAGTAGATATCTTTTCATTACTTTAGTTTTTTGGTAAGGGCTTTGGGTCGAGATTAATGGAAGAAGTCATTGTTGAAAGTGAAAAAAAGCTACAAAAGTTGATACAGAGCAAAAAAGAAAGTGTAGAGGGATTTCTTCATCGTTTTTTTTTTTACTTTTAGCATATCAAATTGTTGATTTTATTTTTATTTTATATTGCTTTCAACATATCTTTTAATGTATCTAGTTGATTTTGATTCTTAAATTAATGTATAATTCGTTGTTTCACCTTTATGATACATTACAATTTTATCAAGTATAATGTATCGTTTTCAAATGTTAGTTTTGATATAAAACCCTAATTATTGAAACACAAATTAGTATGTATCGTGTTCATGGTTATGTATTGGATACATAATCGTTTTTGAATTTTGATGAACTTGAACTTAAACTTTATCTTGATCTTGACTTTTACTTGAATTCAAGGACTTCGAACTTGCTCTTGAATCTGATGATCTTGATCTTAATCGTTCTTGAACTTGAATGCTTGAATTCTTAAACTTTGTAGCTTATAGAGAAATCTATGGCATTTTGATCCATGAGTTTTCTCTAGATTCTTGTTTAGAATTTTCGATTCCTTTTCTGAAATTATGAGGACCTCTATTTATAGTTGTGGAGTAAGGAGTTGTGATAGGAACAAATTTCCATCCGGTTAATCAAATTTAAGTGACATAACATATGGGCTTTAAAAGTGGCTTGTCATTTTGACACATTGCATGATCCTTTTGGCTTTTTTGTTTGACTTGGCATGTCACATTATTTGACACGTGACACCAAACTGGGTCTCTACTCTCTAGGATGAGATAACATTGAGCTTAACAAACTGAACTCATATATGGTAGCTCAAATCAATAAGTTTGGACTTTAATTAAATTCATATTTATTGAACTTAAATAATTAACCCAATGATATTAATCCATAATATTTATTTGGACTAATATATTCATGAATTTAATATAATTCGAATCATTTATAAATTTATATTTAATAAATTTTAGATGATTACACTATTATTTATAGAAAAATAAAATTTAAATAGTTATGTAACAAATGGTACGTTATATCAGGTTTAGTAGGGATGGCAATAGAGCGGTACAGGGTAGGGATGGGGCAGATTGAGCTTAACCCTCAAAATTTTTAATCCGCCCCGCATTATAACTTTTTTTTCATTTTCAACCCGCTCCACCCCACCCCGCATAACTTTTTTAATATTTTTTTATCAAGTTGTATTAATTTAATAAGATAGTGACTTAAAAATTTATGGAAAATTTTTCAAAAGAGCAATATTCTAGCTTTTAGTGGAACTCCTTAGCAACAGTGTCATTATTTATTAAAAATGACATTATTTTAGTTTGTTAAGAGATTAGTTATGTATTTATTTTATTTTGATTAATTTGAAAGAATACAAATAATTAATAATAGAACAGAGAAAATCATGGAACAAAAAAAAATCAAAAGAGGTAAAAAAGATTTTAAATACAAATTAGTTACGTTTTGAAAAGAGCATAAATAACCATCTTTCCATCGAGCGTTTTTTTGCTTTCTTCTTAAAAACATCAAAAAAGAAATTAAAATAATTTAGTTTGTCCTCCGAATCATTCATATGATAACTTTCAAAACTTCTTCAAGTTGAATACGACATATTTTTGAAACAGAATTCTTCAAAATTGACAACTATAAATTTGTCGCATCCAGTGAACAATCGAAAAACAATCAGGTATTTTTTTTTTTACTTTTATTTGTTTGGATGAGATATTCGTATATGTCGAGTACAAGAGTGTTGTTATTTTTTCTGATTGAATCAGTGAAATCTTTGTATGCATTGGGATTTATAGCTTTTTTCGGATGTTTTGTATCCAAATTATGATGTATAACAAATGAAATTGTTTTTTTTTTTTAGTTTAGTAGCTGTTTTTTCTATTTGAATGCATACAATAATTTGTATCCCATTAAGTTAATGTAACTAATCGATCATGAACTATATGTTGAATACAACAATATATGAATACAAAAATGAGATGAAAATACAAAGTTATAAATACAAAGTGAGATTGAATATAAAGTTGTGAATACAAAATAAATTAAATACTCTCTTCATTTGAAATACAAAGTGACTTTGAAAGGTAAAGTAGACACATAAAATACAAAACTTGTTGGTATACAATTAGGTTGAATACAAAACAAAAGAGAAATACAAACTTGTTCACATATAAATTGAGATTGAAATACAGAATGAATACCCAATAAAATACAAAATTGTTAGCATACAGTTAGGATGAATATAAATTCAGAAGGAAATACAAACATGTTGGTATACTAATTGAGATTGAAATACAATGCAATCCTTGGGTAATACACAAATCAAATGAGGGAAATTCCCCAAAATTTTGAATATTATTTGGTATACCTCTAGTAATTCTGATTGAATCAGTCATTGTAGACAATCATATGCTGTCCCCATAATCTAAAACCCTAAAAGCAAATTTTGATATTATCAAATTTTAAAATGTATTAAATATCAAACAAAACAAACATATATATGAAATTCTAGAATCTACAAAATTTGAAAAATTAAAAGAAAATAAAATAAAAAATTGAAATTAATAAATATATGATGAATATTTAAACAAAATCACATCAAAATTGGAAAATTTGACTGAAAATCCGTAATGTATAGAATCAGTGATTTAAACATCAAATAAAAAAAATCAAAATTGATAATGGAAATTTCCTTGCCAACCGAGAAATCTGCTTGAATTAATAAAGAGATTTCGTTTAACAATAAAAAAAATTTCTTGATGAACAACAATTTAGCACTTTGAAGAAAGATAAACTCGAAACATGAAAGGTGGGGAAGAAACGTGAAAGTTGGGGAAGAAATGTGAATGGTGATGAAAAAAGGTTAATGGTATTGGTTTAATTTATTTTTTTCACTTTAAACGGTTATTGATATATAATTTGGTCTAATATAGGACTCAATCCATAAATAAATTAATTTAAAATACTAAAATCTGAATACATATTATTTTATAAAAATATTGTCATTCTGCCATTTTAAATAAATATTTTAAAGTGTTGTTATTTTGACTAATTATGTTAGGTATTATGACTTAATTGCTAATTTTCCCAAAATGTATTTTGTAGAGATCAATTGGGAAACAAGTAAGAAATTGTATTATTTTTTATTGAACCATTTTCATTTACTATCTTGAATATTTTAGTAGTTTTATAAAAATTATCTTAATAAATAATGTTTTATCACTCTTATAACATGTAAAAAGAACCCACATAAAATCACATATACTCGCAACCCGCTCCGCCCCGCATTAATTTTAAAACAAACCCACTTCAACCCGCCCCGCACAACCTTAAATCGCCCAGGCCCCACATAGCTTTAAACCCACCCCACCCCACATCCGCCCCACCCTATTGCCATCCCTAAGGTTTAGAAACAAAAATTCATACTTAATTTATAGGAACCGAAAGATTCTTTTAAATATGTTTATCATTTTTATTTGTTAAAACAATAAGTGTTTAAAATATTTTATTTTCTTATGTCATTATATGTCTAATGTCTCATACACTCAATCCCTTACCTACACCAACATGGGTTGTGGTGCACTGGTGGAAGTGCTTCACCCTTAACCAGATGTCTCGTGTTCGAGCCCTGGGTATGGAGAAAATCCTGTTGGAAGTGCCACTGCCAAATAGGCCCTGCAGTGAGAGATCAGGAGCCAAATAGGCCCTGCAGTGAGAGATCAGGATTTAGTTAGAGCTTCAATGTGAGCTCCGAACACTGGGTGGGAAACCGAAAAAATAATTAAAAAATCACCTACCTATAAAAAATAAAATAGTTCAAAAGAACAAGACAAAATCATCCTATTTCAAATTGTCCAAGGGAAACTTAACCAAATTTTCAAGTGTATTTTTGGAGCTATTTTGCTAGTTGAAAGTCATTTTTGGCTCAAACATGTAACAGAGGACAAAACTGGCACATTTTAAATAATTTAGGGGGTTTATTCAGCCCTTTTCCCTATAATTTATAATTAATCAAATTACAAAATAAGTAGAGCAATTGATGCGAGTCCATCAGCCAGCTCAGTCATCCCACCTTAGTACTAACAAAGAATAAATTAATTTTATGGAAAACATTCTGTTGAGAGCGGCACCACCAAATGGGCCTGCAATGGACGATCCAAATTTAGTTGGGGTTCCAATAAGGACTTCGGACAAAATCAAACAAAAAAGAAAAGAATAAACTAATATTTATGTCAAAAGTACAAAAAGCATTGTGGGATGTATCAAGCATAAAAGCTGGGACGATGTACAAGTAAGCTCTCTCAGTTGCAGGTCATCCCTGATAGATCTTCATGATAGAAGTGAGATTCCCAGACCCAAAAGCACAAAGAAACATCCAGTCTGCTGCAATAAATAGTAAGTCTTCTATATGTCAGAACTCAGACGAGACATCAAATAAGCTCATCTTATTAATATCAAGGAGGACCTCCAAGTAGAGTAGTTTATCAAAACAACGCCATCATGGAAGACGTGTTTCAAGCTTCCGCAGGCTAGACACTCAAGTATTCCCCAGGGCTAATTACAAGCCGCAGAGAAAGATTGAAAGGCCTGAGCAACAAAATGACTGTTCCAGGATCGAAGCACGGTCAGAAATTACTAGGAGCAGCACCCTTAATTTCATTTGGCTGCTTGCCATGAAGTTGATGATGACCTGCAAGACATAAATATAGCTGAATCTAATAGCAATGCACTAGTGCCTTTGGCCAGATGACATTTACATGGACCAAGGCACCTTCCACGTTGCTATAAAGTTGTGACTACCTCAAGAAAAGGTGTGATGGATAGAAGTAGAGCAGTTGTCTTTCCAGTTCTCGGGGTCCTCTCTCCTTTCTCGGGGCCACCTAGCAGAAGCTTGGTTATCATCGGGGCCTGCTTAAAACACTGGAGCAAATGAATACCACATAATTACTGATAACAAAAAAAAAAAGAATTGGCATGCAATTTATCTTTTAAGAAGTCAAGTATATTCATTGATTCAGACCAATACGGTTGTTAGTCATACAAACTAACCAAAGTTTGATCCAAGTATCCGTTAGACCTCCTTAGTCTTACCACATAATTACTGATAACAAAAAAAAAAAAGAATTGGCATGCAATTTATCTTTTAAGAAGTCAAGTATATTCATTGATTCAGACCAATACGGTTGTTAGTCATACAAACTAACCAAAGTTTGATCCAAGTATCCGTTAGACCTCCTTAGTCTTACCATCTAAATAGCATGGTAATTTCTCCCAAGGACACAAATGAAACAAGAGAGAAATTTGACTTTTGATATTCAATTCTCAACTATTGAAGATTCTAGCATGTGTCTCTCCCCATATTAGCCACAAATACTTAGGGTGGCTATTTTCCTACGTGTTTCTTCTCAGCATCCAGTTGCTCATCCTCCAACTTGTTATCATCTCTGCTACTGTTCTAGGAAGCACTCACCAAATGGCGTGCAATTAATTAGATCCAGAAAATCACGAAATCCTCTTAACTTGCCAAAAGGTCATTGGAGTAGGACATAAATATATTGCACATAGATAGCTCGTCATTAGAGCAGGACATCAATATGTTTCACAGACATCTCTGGTAACTGTCCACGATTACGACCAAAATTTTCTTTCAAGCAGAATATTTTTTGATAAGTAAGGCGTTAATTTTGTTTCCAGCAGAATAAACATGTTCAAAAAAATTAAAATGTTCAAGCTTTCCTTTACCACGGGAAAGCTTTTAGAACATACATGTCAAAAAAACAAAGAACTAACATGTGATCCTTGCATCAATAAGTGATCACAGGAACTGAGACAGCAAAATTTTCCCAGATATATACAACACTTGTTGATACAAACAGAGAAATATATTGTCATCAAAGATGAAAAGAACTTTTGAATAGAAGCTAATAAAAGCCAAGAATGTTTACTTTTGAATAGAAGCTAAATAAAAGCCAAGAGTGTTTTCTTTCAAAAGAAGCAACTTCTTAAAATGTCTTCACAGCAATACTAATCTTGAGAATAGCAATTCGACTCATAGTTTTATATAACAGGATTCTACATAACTCAGCCCTCGAGTTTTATCGACGGACCAATAAACTAAAATTTGAGCGTCAATGTTTTGCTTCGATCGATGCTTAACATTCTACAGAACATACCAATCAATAATCAATCAATCCCTACATAAGCAACTGCCTTACCCTATGCTCAAGCAGCTATTTTGATAATAGACAGTGAAGCTTTTAAAGGATTCTTCAACAATATATAACAGAATATCATCTTTTTACCGTTATGTTTGATGGTGCCTGACAATTTCAATATGTATTAGACAACCATCCAGAAAATTAGCTGCATAAGATGAGGCCTCACAAACTCCTCTTAAGAACCTTACAAGCTCCTATGAGAACACAAATTAGTAAGAATCGTCATATAAAGTGAAGAACAAACTTTTGGACCATCGTGTGTAGGGAAGTGTTATCATGATAGGTTTGGGAAAAGTCTGATCACCACATAACTCAGAGAGTTTATTTGGTATCAGAAACAGTAAAAGAACAGGATCATTTTTGTGATCCATCCACTTTGTAAAGGCCTTTATTGCTGATATATATTGGCCCCAATAGTCATCATACTCATATTGCTAACAAATAGAGGTGGAGGGAACTTGGTAATCGGTATGGATGGCGTGCAAAGCAGCTCAAAGTTCAATGATATAAACTGCTAAGCAGGTGAAAATAGACATCACTGCTTGAAGATGAGTCTATCGAAAACAGCCTCTCTACATCTGAGGTAGGGGTAAGGTCTACGTACACTCTACCCTCCCCAGACCTCACTTTGTAGGATAGAACTAGGTATGTTGTTGTTGTTGTTGCTTGAAGATGAGAGGTGACCATCACAATAGCGCAGGAATGATGTTTACCTCACTCTAAAGGCTCTTAAATGTGCACTCATGCAGAACCTATAAAAAGGATAACAATGATGATGATTACGAGGAGGAGAAGGAGAACAATGATGATACGCTGCATAGTCACTTGTTAAATTCTTAAACATGCACTTCACCCCACCAATAAATAATTATGATAGCTCTTGTCATTATTAATACTCCCTCTATCCCAATTTGTTTGTCACTATTTCCTTTTTTTCCCCTGCGAAAGATGGACACCTTTCTATAATTAGAAACCATTTAACTTTTGTACCCATTTTGCAATTGACATGCTTGTCGTAGGCCAACTGGTTACAAAGACAAATTATTGGGTATGGAAGTACTTCTGGTATATTATCCACATCTAATTTAATTGTGAAAAGATCTTCTTTTTCTTTCTTAAACTTTGTGTCCAGTTCAAATTGGGGGACGGACATAAAGAAGAGTATTATTTATTGTTATTCTGAAACTTTTCAAGCTCTAGTAGCAATCAAAAATCTGAGTCAGATATAGCAACAATACCCAACCATAATTTGGAAAGAGATGCATTTAGAAAGACATTATTGACAGATCAAGAATTATATGACAACAACAACGTACCCAGAAAAATCCCACAAATTGAGGTTTGGGGAGGGTATAGTATACACAAACCTTACCTCTACCTCTTGGAGGTAGAGAGGTTGTTTCCGGAGGAACCTCAAGGGAAGCAAATCAAAGTAGTAATGAAAGAAAAAACGGCAGTGAAGAAAAACATGACAACTAATAGGCAAGCAATGCGAAGCATGTACGCAAGGAATCGTAACATCAACAAGGTGCGATCACCTAAACATAGTAAACAACAAATGATAACAGATACCAAAAGCCAACGACTACATGAATAAGCTAATACTCCGACGTACACAATACTCTAGACTACCACCAAGCCAAAGACTACATAGATAGGCTAATACTTAGACAACACTCAACTACCTACTACTAACCTTCTACCCTTATCTGCAACCTCTACACCCTACTATCTAAAGGTCATGTACTCAGTAAGCTGAAGATCGGGCGTTTCTTGCATAATCACCTGTCTCCAATACTTCTTCGGCCTACGTTTGCCTCTCCTCATCCCCACCATATCCAACCTCTAACATCTTCTCATTGGGATCTACACATCTCCTCTTCACGTGCCCAAACCATCTCAACCTCCCTTTCCCTCATCTTATTCACCACGGAGACCAATCATCTTGACAAAACCATATATGTACCTTATATAATAACTTACGCTGATGGTGCACAAAAGTTCTCACGAAACTTAGTTCTAGGAAATTACCAAATAGAATGGTGAATGGTCAAAATTCAAGGTAGATTCCACAACATGCCAAAGATATTAGATCAGCTCAAGCAGTTTCAAACCTGAACCAAGTAAGCTTGTTAATCAGTTCGCATCACACCGTTGAGGCTTTTCTCCATGTTCCTGCTACTGCTTCTCTACCTTTAAGATTCACTCAGAGCACAGGACATGGCACCCATTATAATGGTTACTTCACTGACTCATGCATTAAACCCAGAGAACTTTTCCAGCCTGGCCCCATAACTCTGTAGGAATCAGGACAACCGATACCAATAGTACTCCATCTTCAAATGCACTAATATTTCTATTTATGTTTCATGTGCCACCAGCTTACTTTCAGACAGCCACATCAACAATCACAGCCAAGCAGACCAACCTAAGATGCAGAATGTCAAAGTCAGATACAAAGATAATTTGGATATGAAAAGAAAGTAAGGGGCAGAGAAATAACAGCTAAGATGGTATACAATGCGAGCATGGGACTGCAAGAAAGATCTTGAACAGATAAAGTTCATCATATATGGTATTACATGAAATGCAACAAAAATCACTAAACCCCAGAAGAAAATAGGAAGAGGCAAGCTTGCATTTGGTTACCTTGATTTCCCCAATTTCCTCCTAATTACTGGCTGGAAAATTGATTTTGAACATACCCCTAAATTTGGCCAGTGCAGTAACGAGTTTTAAACTTAAGTAAAATGATATGAGCCTTTATGAATGAACGTTACAACAGCAATAGGATACATCGACTACACCTTAAACAAATAAAATTTTGTATGGTTAAAATAAGTTTTTTTTTTCATAATTGTGGTGCCCAGGCTTGCTTGCACGCACCTCAATTACTTCCATTGAATACCTCTCTGTCCACCCAAGCTTAGACAAATGGAAAGTCACCTAGTATTTGTCGCCGCTGCGATTTGAACCCTGAGACTTCATAGTTCTCTCCTCATGAACAGATAGTTCTAAATTTTTACTCCATAGCAAGTTTTCCCCATCCAGCTTACATTGGCATAGAAATCAGGTTTTGCTTTTATATGTAACACTTCCATAACAGAGAGATACCAGGTGAAGTAAAAAAAATTCCTAGTCAATGCTATGTCCCTCCCACTTATTTTTTATATTAACTCAAGTAGCGTTTTTCACTTAATGCTGACCACCTCAGTACAACACAGCTTCTACTTTAAAAAGTAGTAACAATAGAAGTTATCTGTAGCAGAAAATATACCTATTAAAAAATGTATATCACTAAAGAATCCATGTAAGCCATCATAGAGTCGTACTAACTCAATGCCAATGCAGCTCAACATTACAAATGGTAGTTTTGATCTCAAAACTCATAGAGCAGGTGCCGCACAATGTTAGAAGGCAGTAAGAAGTTAACTTAATATCCTAGATTACTTCTATTGTCTTAGGAGTTGCATTCTTGAAGAAGTAAAACAACCAGAACTTATAATCTTCGTGGGAAAAAATTAAAGGAAGCTAAAATCTTCTCTCCTTACAAGAGGAACCCAACAAAAGTAATATATCAAACGATGTAGCATTAAATACCTGAATGAGGAACCCCATTACATCTTGAATGAGATTCATCAATAGTTTAAACAAATGTCTTTGTAGCCTCAGTCAGATCAAAACCTTTACTGAACATTTCTTCCATCCATCTTCTAGCCTCAGAAGACCGGCCAACTTTTAAGAAACCGTGAACTAATATGTCGTAAGTCCATCTATTTGGCTCATATCCTTTCTTGCATAATCTCTCAAAGTAATTACAAGCAAGATCCATTTCGCTTATGGTTAGTTTTCTCAACAACAAATTGTAAGTGTAGATGTCAAGAGGAAAACATTGTCGAATCAGTTCTTCAATTTGCAAAATATCACACTCCAGATCACTACAACCAGAGAAAGTCTTGATCAGATCGCCTAGAGCTAAGCTGTGATCCTTCGTATTGCGCAAGTCTCTTGAGTGCATCCAAGCACTAAAGACTCTATGAGTTTGTAACGAGTGTAACAAAAGTACATTGCCAATGAAGGATGAAACCTGACGACCAACTTGCATCAAGTCTTCAACCAGAAGAATAGCCTTATAATAATCTCTATGTGAGCAAAGCAACTTAACAAGTTCCTCATAGCATTCCATACTTGGCCTCAAATGAGTTGACCTCATCTCCCAGAACATGTTCCATGCATTTCCAGGCTTGTTAGCTTTACAAAGCCCAACAACCATGTTATTCCATAGTTTTCTTCCTAGACCTCTTCTATTTGACAAGTCACGAAAGTAATTTAAGGCATCAGCAATTTTTCCAGCTTTTAAGTAACTTTGCAAGATTAAAATGTCAGACTGCAAATTTGGTGTGATACCGTTTCTCTTCATCATTTCATATACATCTCTGGCCAGCTCAGGTTTTCCAGCATGACCAGCTCCATCAATGAAGTAATTATAAACAAGGCAGCTAGGTTCATGCCGAGACAACTGAACCTCTAATAAACTGTAAAATAGCTTATCTGGATCCTCCATTTGACATAAACAGCAAATAACCGCCCTGTATAATCGCCGGTCTGGACTATGACCTTTTTCTTGCATTTCTATTAACAATCTTGCTGCAATATCTCCCCTGCTTGACTTGTTAAAGCCACTAATCAAGTCAAAATAAGTAGTCTTGCTAGTAACCTTATCGAATCTGCTGAGTGCTCCATGTACCAAGTATCCATCTTCCACCCTGCTGGCCCTACATAAGGCTGATATGAATTTGTTATAGGTTGAGTCACTGGGCACACAATTCCGTTCCAGAGAAGCAAGAACCAACTCTTTCACTCTATCAAGCTTCCCCTCTCGGCAAAGAGCATCAGCAATAATAGAAAATGTCCTCCTACCAGGGAAATGACCTTGTTGAATGGCATTCTTCAACACGAGATATGCTTCATCAACACTTGCATCACCTAATAAAGTATTTATAAGATAGTTATAGGTCATACTGCTTACAGAGAGGCCAAATTCTGCTCTCAAGTCATATAGCTCGACGGCAACATCTGCCATCCCCACCTTGCAGAAGAAGCACAAAGTTACATTCATGGTGACATCATCAGGTATTATATCTTGATCCTTCATGTCCATCAACAAGTCATAAACCTCCTCCAGCCTGTTTTCTCTTAAAAGCCGACACACTAAGCTGTTATAGCGAAAAACGTCAGGAACATACCCATCAGCCAGTTTCTTGCCTTTCAAGAATTCAACTGCCTCACTTAGCTCCCCAGCCTGAGCAAGGTCCTTAATCCACACACTATATGCCTGCTCCATTGGAACCAAACCAGACTCTCTAAATTCCTGCACCAAACTTGCAGCTCTTGTGAACTGCTTATTTTTACATAAAGCATCCACAAGATTAGCCACGACAATCCCACTCAATCCTACCCCTCCATTCCTCAACAACCCTCTAAGATAGTCCTCAGCTCTATCCAACTCTGTTTGCTGGCAAAGACTCTTAACGAATATAGCATGTGTTATTGCATCCTCAAAACCTCTAAATTTAATCTGCTTCAAAACCATCTCAAACCCATCATAGAATCCATCCTCCACCAAAGCATTAAGTAACACATGATAAGCAAATGCATCCAAATCAACACCCTGAAACCGCATTCTACCAAACAGTTGGAGTGCAAGCTCAGGCTTGCCTGCCACCGCATACCCAATTACCAAAGTATTGTAAAACCTAGCTTTATGGAAATACCTTTGCTTCATATACTTATCCAAGAACTCAGCCATCAAAGACATCATTTTGGCCTTAGCTAAAATCCTGAAAATGGCATTAAAAGTAGAACGAGTATGATGAAAACCCGGTTGTCGACCCGCCCAATCAAAGAATTTCAAACACGACAATACATCTTTATTTTTCTCATAGTTTAACACGTCAAGAATCAATGCCTCAGAGAGTCGAAGATTGAATCTCGACATTGATATATCAGCTGTAATATCATCTTTGGTTCGTAATATCTCAAAGATCTGATCAAAGAGTGGATTTTTTCTGGTCATGAACCACTCCTTAAAGGATAAAACAACATCTTTCTGCTGCAATTCGCCGATTCTTGAAGTTGACAAAATATTTGAAGAAACAGGTAAAAAGGGATATGGGTATGAAGGGATTGCCTTTGAGGAGGCGGCAAAATGAGTATTAGTGGAGTAAAATAGATAGAACAAAAGGGTATTCTTGTTAATGGCGGATTGGGCATATGGAAGATGATTGAAGAGGGCTCTAGTTTTCTGCCTCGCCTGTCTGATTGTTACCAACATTTCTGAATAATTCGCTATTTCTGAATTCAAGATTGTGATTCACCCAACCTTACAGGGGCTTATGAAAAGCTACTTCTAGCTTCTTCACCTCCCACTGAGATATCAAGCCCAGTAGATCGGCGGCACTGTCAAAAAAATTACCCTATTATTCCTTTTCATTTTCTTCATTTAAAAAAAAAATCTGTTCCCTTTTTTTATTTTTATTTTTGAGATAGTATGTACCTATTTCCTTTTTTTTTCTTTCAAAAATGCATGTAATTTGCCTTTAGGCCCAATTTGGGCGGGTTTTTAAGTTTCATATATGAACTATTGAAAATGTGAGTTTATATCTAAACTATTGGGATGGTTAGTTACTCAAATTAATAATTGACACGAAACTCACACTTTTAATAGTTTAGGCATGAAACTAAAAAAAAAGGATAGTTTAAGTGTATTTTTAACACTTATCTTAATAATCTAATTATCACTTATTACGTAAAATTGTCATTCAGTTAGTGCTATTGCACGAGAAGTCGCGAAGTACATTTGATGCGTTCTTTCCCTCATCTTCTACCTTGTATGACCTTCTTCCAACCACTGATGGTTGATTTGCTTCTTCTTCTTCTTTCTTCTTCTTCCTTATTTCTTCGATGTTTTCCTCCTTGCTTCTTCTTCTTTTACATTTGAAAAATTAATGCGCCGCAAAGAAAAATCATTTCGAGTGAATAATATATCAAAAGACGCAAAACATTGAGAGGAGCTCATATTTTAATTTTGGACTGTTTAGAGGATATTAAGTTGGTTGAGATGAAAAAAAAAAGATTTGTAATGTATTCATACCGGATAAATAATGTATACACATTTGATACATAGCTATACATCATTTATACATGATTATACACTATTTATACAATTATCGATACATTATATATTCATATCAATATATTGCATACACTTATAACCATTTTGCTGAAACGAATTTTTGTTGCCTATACATATTGGTAAATAGTCCTTGAAATTTAAGTTTTTACATTGATTGTCCCTATTTCAGGTTGGCCTTTTGATTTTACCCTCAAATCTAATGATCTTTAACTTTTTCTCCTATTGTCATTTAATAAAATATTGTAGATCAAAGTACACTTATCTATTCGACCTAATTCACTCGGTATAGATTTATAAATTATTGTCTCGCTATATATAAGTTGTGTAATATTTTCCAAAATTTGTTATAGTGTTCTGAAACACGAGTTATGACTTTTGAGCCGTATGTTCTTTATCTCTTTAAAAGAGAAAAACTTGGTAGCTAATGTGGACTGATACAACATATGTGTAGGCCTGTATTTTTTTACGTTTTTTCTGAAATATATTTTGCTCTCGCAGTAAATGACATAATTTGTGGGACTTTAACAATACAAACATATAAACGTATACTGAAAAAAAGATGTTTGTTATTTGGTATTAGGAACATAAGTACATAACTTATTATGTCTTTTACAACATGACTTGTGAGATATTATGATACAAAAATTGAAAGAGAAAAGATAATTTTGTCTCACAAAAAGTTATTTTTTATTTTGGTGTCAATGGTATTTTGACCACTTATTTATTACTTAAAGTCTTGAATGATAAAAATTAAAGACCACAAATTTGAGAGACAAAAATTACAAATCACCTCCAAAATAGAGGCATTTATGTGAATGACCTTTTCAAATTCAAGTTGATTTGAATTTCATGTTTATTTGGACATGCAATTTTAAGTTATAATTTTTTTCATAAACGTGAAAACCTCGCAATTTGTAAAAGCTATAAAAAATTCCTCAATTCTTATACAATCTTATCAAATGAGAAAAAATATAGTTCATAAATTTTCACGACCCAGACTGTCGTGATTGACACCCACACTAACCATCCGATGGGAGAACCGCTACTACAACCCAAACTAAGCAACTAAACCAAAACTAAGGCAATTAAGTTACGGAAGGAAGTTAATTAACTAAACAAATGCGGAATAAACAACATAGAAACTAAAAGTCAATGTACCAAAACATCTAAACAAATGATCCAAGTCTAAACAAGAAGGGATACATCCCCAAACTAATGAACTAATCAACTAACTAGAACAAATATCTAAGTCCGGAAATGATGGACATAGACGAAAGAGAATCCCATGGCAACCCGGAAGAATTGGCTCACCCTTGAATTCGAAGCGATGATCACTGATCTTCTAAGCGAGGTCTGTCAATAGTCGCGTGACGATGCCATATACTCAACAAAAATAAGAGCAAGTGCAGAATCAGTACACATCCACAGTGTACTGGTAGGATCACGCGACTATCACTCTAGTGCAACATAAGCAAGTCAAACAACATTATAATCACATGCATATATATCAACATATACAACATCATCAACATGAAGAATCAACAACGCATTTCACATTTTATCATCACATCATTGGTTCTCTCATGGAACCCAAACCCAAACAGTTAGCATGCCGGAACGTGAGAATTCGATCCCATATTTATGCCGAAACATGGCAATCCGATCCCATATTTATGTCGAACGTGGCAATCCAATCCAAGTTAGTTATGCCGGTACGTGGCAATCAGATCCAAGTTAGTTATGTCGGAACGTGGCAATCTGATCCAAGTTAGTTATGTCGGAACGTGGCAATCCGATCCCATTCACACACCACAATTACAAACACAAGTATATCCTCAAGATCATACATATAAGTCATGATTTCATGGTAAAGATAATTCATCTATCTCATTTACAACTAGTGTGATCAACATTGCAACATTCATACATATACAAGTATCATATGAAACAAGAACAAGCATACATCACACAATCATAGAATCACAACCATCACCTACCTCGAAACAAGCTTGAAACCCTAAGAAACTTGATCCTCCCCTTTTCGGATTCGTTCCGCTTGTTCTTGGTCTACAAACAATCAATATAATGCTGGAATTAATAAACAATTATTAATTACCCGGATTACCAACAAATCTAACAAACCCTAGATCAACCCATGATCCCAACTATCCAATTAAGTATTGTTTCCACCATATAATCTATAACAAAACCCTCTCCCATCAATATTCACCCATTCTATTACGTTCTACGGATCGAAAAATGGATTCAGGGAGTGAAAAACTTACCTTTAGCCTCAAGAAGAGTGAAAAACGAGTATGAGTCACCTGGGGGTCGTTCCTTAGCTCAAAAGTCGAAAATTGCATAATGAGGTCGTTTAAGGGTTTATTAATGACATTAAGTCGCGTCTGGCCCGCTACAACGGTCCTCACCCCGCTGTAGCGGCGGTGCCAGAGCGACCCAAATTCTCGCCAGAGCGGCATTCTTGTACAAGTGAGCTATTCGTCTTTCACCTACGATTTTAAGTATCATCATACCTGCCATAACGCCCCATATCCCGTTGTAGCAGACCCGCCATAGCGACCAAACTCCTGCCAAGGCAGTACAAATGGAACCATAGAGTCAATTGAAGGAATTCCAAAATCCCATTTCACAACACACCTCTAACCCACGACGATCAGAAAATACCCTTTACGCTAAGATCAATTTCGAGAGTTCTACTTGCCCGAATTCAATTCTGTAAAGTCGTACGGTTTCGTTAACGAGTTATCTAACTACTCATGTAATTAAAATAAAAAACAACTCACCCGATTGTTACCAGATTTCCTTACACTTTGGTAACTTCGATTTCCTCCAAATCTGGACAAGGTTGAAAAAATCCAAATACTACGAAAAAGTTTTTCTAGCCCCAAATTTTTCCCCGTTGGCATTTTATAACAACGGAACCCGATCGTTATAATAGATACCGATTTACCCCTCACTCGTCCCCGAGTGACAAAACTTAGAAAAAGTAGGCTAAAGAAAGAATGAAGTAGTACCTGATTCGACGAACAATTGGTGATACTTATCTTGCATGTCCCTCTCCGTTTCCCAAGTAGCTTCCTCAACTGGACCGTACTCCTGGCCCGCAAGAGTATATGGATTGAAGCTCTCGAAGTCGTCTTTCCAACAAAAAAAGAAGCTCATTATTCCAGCGCTTCTACTCCACATTATGAATTTTCTTCCTCATGTGCACAAAACTGAAGAAAGCTGAAAATTCAAGCACGCGGATTTTGAGCTGACTTTGAAGACAAATTTGTATTAATCCGTAAATCCTATAGACGTGATTTTTATATGGATTGAAGCTCTCGATGTCATCTTTCCAACAAAAAAGGAAGCTCATTATTCCAGCTCTCCTACTCCACGTTATGAATTTTCTTCCACATGTGCACAAAGCTGAAGAAAGCTGAAAAGTTAACGTTTTGTTGCTATCCTCATATAAACGCTAGCTTATGGAGTCTTTTTTTGATAAGGAAAAGGGGCTCGTGGAAAGAAACAATAAAAAATCAAGAGGAGAAAATTCTTATTGAAATATAAGTCACTATTTTATTGGTTAAAAAAAGAACCACTACACCATAATGAGCGAATTAGAAAATCCTAAGCAAATAAATAAAAATACCTAACTATGGAAAAAGTTTGAAGCTTATGATTTCTTGGCAACTTTTCTCAACTGCCCCTTCTAGCTTGGGTAGTCTCTCAACTTCATCGTTAGATATCACATTATTTGACTCAATGGTATAAATCTCGCCCTCCGTAATGGTGACATTCTCTTGACTTTTGGACAGCTTATCTTGATATTTGTTAATGAGCGCGGTCACTTTCTTTTTCTTGTAAGTCAAGGCTTTTAAGTCTTTCTCCACATCTGCTAGAGTTGCTTGAAGTTTCTCCATGGATCCATACAACTTTTCATGTGCCATCTTTGCACCATCGAGACGACGTTGTGCATCAGAGAGAGCCTTTTCATGTGATTCTTTAGTCATCTTTGATGATCTTAAAGTATCATACTCTGCGTACGACTTGAAGAAATTCTCGACATGATCCTCCAAAGAAGAAACATCAATAATGTTTACCTTTCTAATCTCCTCAAGAGTTGAAGCGATACTTGACTCCAATTCTGT